CGTCTGAGCTGCAGGGAGAGGAATTGGACCGGCTGAGGAGGATCAATCAGGACCTCAGGAGTCAAAGCGCTCAAGTAAGAAACCCGCCACAGAGGGAGGGGAAAAAATGATTCATTTTTTCCTAAAATAAGTGTTTTTTTTCTTCAATTGAGGAAGGAAGTGAGACACTTTGCCAATAGAACGAGACTATTTGCATTTAAAATCAGAAAAAAATGACAATTGCATTGTCTTATTTCAAGAGCATAATATCTAATTATCTTATTTTAAGAGTAAAAATCCGAATTCCATTGGCAGATCATCGTATATATCTGCTCAGATTAGGGGTGAATACGCTTATTTAAAGAAATGCTTACTTATTTCTAAATCGTTTTTGCAGTTGGAACATTTATCCTCTCTTCCAGTGAAAATGCTTCATTTTCTGCACTGAAAAAATGATCTAGAAATAAGTAAAAATTTCTTAAATTAATTGTTTTTACCCCTTTTTGAAATAAGACATTATTTTAAATCTAAATTGTCTTGTTCCATCAGCAAAATGTCTCTTTTATCTCCTTCATTCAAGAACAAATCCACTTATTTTAAGACAAATTGACTGATCTATATTTAGATTTTTTCCAGTGTGTATAAAGTCTAAAATCTGGATCTTCTCTGATCTCTGCAGCTTGACGCTCAGATTGAAACCATCACCATGGAGCTTTCTGAGCGGCTCCAGGATGAAACAGGAGACGGTAGCATCCGCAGCACTCAGCCACAGCAGGAAAACACAAAGCTGGCTTCGGTTTCACTTTTTTCTGTTTAACTTTTCCTCCAGCAGCCGGATTCTCTTCCCTCACGACTCATGAAGCTCAGGTCTGTCAGCAGAAACCTTCAGGTCTGGACAACATCAACTCCCCTGAGCAGTAAGTCAGAGTCTGACAGGCCAACGATGAAACCAAGCTTTCAGTCTACAGGCAGGAAACGTATGGAGTTTATGTCACATTAAATCAGCTCCATCCTGGTTGATTTAAAACAGAAAGGCAGCTACACTGGAAAAAAAAACAAATCTTGATAAGTCATTTTTTCTTAAAATAATCTTAAAATGTTCTTTGAGTAGATAAAAGTGACATTTTGCCAATGGAACAAGACAGTTTACTCTTAAAATAGGAAAACACAATTGCATTGTCTTATTTAAAGTGCCTTGTATCTAATTATCTTATTTGAAGAGTAAAAAGACTGACTCCATGGGCAAACTATCTCATTTAC